CATCAGAATATGCCATCATCATTCTCATTAAATGCTTGCCAGCACTGACTCTTGAGGTAATAGCTTAAGATTACCTGTCAATTTAGTGAGCAAAAAATTATTTTATGTTGCTTGCCACTGTCTTTCTTAGCTATTTGTATGTCTAGTGTGAATTGTCTTTTCTTACCCTTTGCCATTAAAACTTGGCATGTTGGTGGCATCACAATTTTGTAAGAGTTCTTTAAATTGAGATTGTTAACTCTTTGCCTCATGTTTATTTAAATACCGACTTTTAGTTTGTCATTTGCTTTTTAATTTTGTTTTCGTTGCCTACTAACAAAAAGTTTAATATATTCTCAGATGTATTTAGTCTTTTCTTTCATGTCTTTAATTTCTTCTATTGCTTTTATGCTCAGGAAGTCCTTGCTCATCTTGAAATAATTTAAGTAATCACCTACATTTTTCTTTCAGAGGAGAAAATTATTTAAATGATCTCAAGATCATTTTTTGAAATAAATGTTTTGTTTCCCATTCAACCCTTTCATCCATGTGTAAATTATTTTAGTAATGGTGTGAAGAGTGGTACTGATGCCCCATGCATCTGCCTTTATATAAACTAAGGTCTGTTTCAGGGTTTTCTCTTTTGTTCTTCTGAAACTGGCCATTGTAATTATTTTAGGTTTGTAACATATTTCAGTATTTGGTAGGGCAAGTTTTTCTCATTGGTGTTTTTTCCCATATTTTCCTCCACAGGTCTTGACTGTTCATTCTTCTAGATGAAAACCATTATCAGTTTTCTCCCCAAAACCCTGGTTGGCAATGAGCCTACACATATATTATCTTCTTAGTGAGAAGCAGCATTCATCTAGTTTCATATGCCAAAACCCAGTTTGGCCAAGACAGCACTCACAAAATTCTCTGTGGTATCCTCCATTCCAGCCTCTTATACAATAGGCTGAGCAATAGGTGACTACTTCTGGCCAATGGACTGTAAGCAAAAATGACCAAAGGTATTTCTAATACAAGAAAGTTATAACTTGGAGTCCCTCTCTCTTTCCCTTTTGCTGAGTCTTGGCAGCCATGTGTTGACATGGCAGCATGATGCCTTAGAGAAACCCTGAATCCTAGGGTCAGTCTTAACCCACAGAGGGCCTTGCCTGAATAAGAAATACACAAAGTTTATTGCTGTGTATCAGACCCCCTCATGTCCATCTCTCTTCCTATTACACTGAAGTACCATCTTGGATTCCTTTTTTCATTCAGACCCTATATCTACTCCATCATCAATTCCTGAGCATCAACCTTTGGTATTTACTCTAACTCCAGTAATTCTCACCACTTTCATTGCCAAAACCAAGATGAGTGGGCTTGAAATCAAAGAGTTTTTCACTGCAGGATTACATGAAAGTTTTTCCAGGTGTACATAAAAGAAAGAGTCCAAAGCAATTGATTTCCTTGTTCTCTTTCTCCAAACAGATCTGCTTGACAAGGATGCTGAGATTATTTACAGTCTTGGTACCCCTCCTCTCAGAACTTTCCTTCCACAGCAGAAAGCTTACTCAACATCCATTTCTGAGCTTACTGTGACACCTCCCCTTGGGGGTGGAAAATCCCTTAGGTTCTTTGGTGAAAGGAACGAAAGGAATGCATCCAGGGACTGGAAACCATCCTTGATGAAGTCAGATTGTCTCCAATTCTTGGTGCTCAACAAAATGAAGAAAGAACTAACTGAGCTGATAGATCATTGAAGCATGTTTTGAAGACCGATCAGCTTATCATATTTTGGTGTGTAATTCAGAATGAGTTGAAACCAGTGACAGATTTGCTACAATAAAACTCTTTTCATTTCTATTTACATATCTTTGTGAATACTTTTCTTAGCACTCATATCAATAAAAATAAGAATTGAGATAGAATTGATGTTGAACTCTGTCTCTTTCTAGCAGCAAGTAAAAACCATTCAAGGGGGAAAAAATACACCCCATTAACCACCCGAAGAGATGCATTTTTAATAAACTTTAGTTTTTTTTGTCTAATCATTATTCAATAGCATTTGAAATGTGTTTATAGTGTTGTAATCAATTGGGTGTTAGTAATTAATAGTTGATGGTATTATAATCAATTGTGTAATATGTTTGTGTTATTGTAATCAATTGTGTATTATTATAATTAATTGTGCATTAGAATTTCTAATAATTCAATCAGAAAAATTACTAGTTAGAGGTTTTATGACTATAGGAATTAAAAAAAATAAATCCCAATTTTCACATGCATTTTTGATGTAGAGAATATGCTAGGATAATCAATAGAAGAATTTCAAATATAAAAATATATTACATCAGGATTAAATTGCAGGGAAATGTAATGGAAATCAGAATAAAAATATGACTTAAAAGATAAAGATAGAATAAAATATTTGTCATAGAAAAGCTTGTTAATGTGCTTTTAAAATTAATGCACACAGTAAATGGTGTTTAAATTTTGGAATTTAGTTTCAACTGAATATCTTAAAAATAGTAATATATTTAAAGTTTTATTTTAAATGGTCAGCATTTATAGTGAGCAGAAATTACCTTTTGGTAACTATTTACTACTTGCGTTGAAAAATTTCAGACGTCCACTTAAAAATGTGGGGCTGTATTCATAATTTTTCAAAATCTTATTAAAGTGAACAAGAGAAAAATGTTTGAAGATTACGGCCCTATAAGAAACAGAGGCACCTATTTTCAGGGCAGGAATAGAGAGACAGATGTATAGAACAGACTTGTGGACACAGTGGGGGCAGCAGAGGGTGGGGCTAACTGAAAAAGTAGCAGTGATACACGTGCACCACCATGGATAAACCAGAGAGCTAGTGGGAAGCTGCTATACGCCACCAACAGCTCAGTTCAGTGCCCTGTGATGACCTAGAGGGGTGCAGTGGGGGGTGGAGGAGAGCGGGGCTCAAGAGGGAGGGATACATGCACACAATAGCTGATGCACTTCGCTGGGCAGCAGAAACTAGCACAACATTATAAAGCAATTTACCCCAATGGGAAAGAAAGCAACAGCTCTTGTCTGTTGCATGTGCTTCTACAATTGCCCCTCGTGGTTCCCTTTGCTTCTGTGCTCACCCTTCCCATTCCCAGTTCTTCCTTTTCCAACTTTCAGTGCTCTGCTCAGCTCCCAGAGTGGTTTCTTTTTTTTTTTTTTTTCCTTAAAGCTGAATCAGATGATGTTACTCCTCCACGTGCAAACTCTCCAATGTCTTCCCATCAAATACAGATTTCTCATGGTCTACAAAGCCCTTGGTAGGTTGGCATCTCTTATCTTTGACTCCCTTCTCCTTATTCACTTGGCTCCAGGCATTTTGGACTATCTGGTCCTGGTACAGGCCAAGCTCTTTTTGGTCTCTGCCTATGAACTTGCTTTTCCATCAACCCCAAGGCCTGTTCTTTTCCATCACTTAGCTGACACTCAGAAAGATTGTCTCTAATAATTTTATCACTTCTAATACAGTCATAACTGTAGCAACCTGCTTTGCAGGAGTGAAATCTGACAGCAGAAACCCACTTGGCATGCACATGAGTGCAACACTTATTCCTCAGCGTGATCTTTGACCTGTGGGGGCTAGGGGCACCAATCCCCTCCTCAGTCTCTCACCAGAGAAGGCTGAGGAAGATTCTAGAAGCTCCTCAGAGGCTCCTAGGGGATCAAGTCCACATCCTCATATCAGCATTCCTTCTTTTTCTGTGTTCTTTCCAGTCGCTTGCCGAGGTTCTCTGAATTCAGGTCCCACGATAAATTAGCTGTGCACGAGACCTGTCTCAGGCTCCTCTTTCTTGGGTGAGCCTAAGGCATTCAACAAATGTTGACTAATTGATAGATCTGTGTATGGAAGTGAGGGCTTGCCATTTGCTGCAATAGAGTCATTCACAGGCGTCCCCTAATTCTGGTGTGTGATGGTGTCATGATTAAACACTTCAGGAAAATGTGTGGATTATAGTTCCAAATTACAAATAGAAAAACAGGCCTTCTGGAATTGTTCCACAGGATGGATTCTCAGCTTTTTCAGCAGAATGCCCTTCTCCTGCCATTTAGCTCCATCAATTCAGGAGTTGATTTCTCACTTTCCTAACCAACTAAATCCTCCCATTCCTCCAAAACATCCCTTACTGGTGGAAAATCCTCCAGGCCAGCAATAGAAACTAAGTATCACCTCCAACATCAGTTCCAATAGGTTGCTCAGGGCAGCCTGGAGACCCGAGTGGAGGGACTCGGGGCTGTGTGTGGACTCAGGGAAAAGTGGTCTGACTGCTTAGCCACGTCAGGTCAACAAGGACTTGGGAGAGGGGGTGGTGATAGTCCTGTTCCATGATTACCCTCCATACACAAGGCTGTCTGCTGAATTCCTTAACTGTCTTTCATGCTCCTTATAAACACTCTCCTTGAAAGCAGAGTTTAAGATTATTTTTATCAAATCATATATTTTGGTTCACTAAGGACAACTTTAGACCTACTCTGTCCTAGCATTTTGCCTTTTACCACTATCATTTCAACATCTCCCTGCCCCCTAGCTCTCTCTTGCCATCTGAACCAGGTTTTTTTTTTGTCATCCTCCAAAACAGCCTGCTGAGCTTAAAGAATTACAGTATTTGGCCCAAATAACCCAGGAAGACGCCACATGCATTTATGTGTTATGAAAACAGAGGCTCCCAGAATAGCATGTTTAGAAATTAGAGATGGCAGACATCTACAGGTCATGGGTGGTCCTGTTCAGTTTGGTTCAATGCCTGGTACTTTTACAGAATTTCTTTTAATATTTCCTATTTTACTATTTCACCCACACCTATTAGAAAACTCCATTCACATCTTCTATGCAGACATATTTGGAAGGTCATGGCCTCATTTGAGCTTATGTCAGTTCCTTGTCTTGACTTTAGTTCTCAGAACATTTTCAAAAGCATTGCCAAGTTACTCCTTTTGAACAACGAAAATAACACTTTAATGTGTTATTTAAAGTATTTAATGTGAATACTTACCCAGAAGGTGGTTCACCAAAGCACTTTGCAACACACCAAAAAGTTGGAAACCATCTGAATGTTTAAAAACAAAGGAGTGATTAAATAAGCTTTTGTACATCCATGACATACAACACTAAGCTGCCATTAAGAATGATGTAAATGCAAATTTATCAATTGCAAGTAATGACCACAATAAAGACTCAAAAGTGACAAAAGGATATTACGAAATTGTATGTCTTCTTAGTCCTGATTTTTGTAAGAAATGGTTGGTAAATGCTGAGATTATGAATGTCTTTGACTTTCTTTTTCTATTATCTACACTTTCTAATTTGTCTACACTGAACATGTAGTGTCTTGTTATAAACAGAAAAAAAATATCATTTTAACAAGATTAAAGAAAAAAAAACCTTAGTCATTTTTTTCCCTTAATTTTAATGCCTGGCTAAGAGTGGTCAAACTCCCTGAGTTCATTCAAAGACAGCCACTGAAATAGGAACTTTACAAATCAATATTTACCTTCCTGCTCACCACAGTGCGTGCTAACTGATAACCCCACTGAAGAATTTTCTGGCGTTGAATTGCCAAAGCCCCAGTAGGGATCTTGCCTGCTTCAGTAAAAGTGTCTTCTAGTTTTATTAATTCTAGTTACATATTCTGTGTTCTGACTCTTTCAGTCTCTGGCAGGTTTGTGCCCCATTTAAGCAACTGATATCCAGATGCAGGCCAGGTAAATACCTGTCCCCAAAGCTCTGCAGAGGCAGGGCTGCAGTCCTCAGGCTGCTGGCAAACCCAATCCCTCACTTCGTGGACAGAGGAGAAAGCTTCCCCTCTGAGGTTACCCCCATGGGGATTGAAGGATCTCTCCTGCGTTCCCCTAAGCTTTTGTTTATATCCCTTCAAACAAAGGCTCAGAAAGCCACCCTGGCAGAAAGGAGTGTCCAGCCATGAGCATTTCTCCAGGACTGCTGTGCTGAGTGTAATGTAATTCTTTCCCCTGGCCCTCACACCCTCTTTCTAAAAACCCGACTGATCACAAGTGTTGTTAAAAGTTACTGAACTAGAAAAACAAACCACACCGTGGTTGTTGTGTCACTAATTACAGATGGTACTGTGTTGGGATCAATTGTTCTGGTACCTCCACATTTCTCTGATACTCCATCAAAAAGTGGGCTGTTGCTCTTTGGCCATTCATAAGAAATGATTACTGACAATCTAGAAACTTCTATCAGCTTTCTTTTCTATCCCGAACTAATATGAAACCATTTCTCAAGTATCAGCTTTAGAACAAAAGTCTTCAGCGGATGACCTTGTGTCATGAAAACCAATGCTACAGATTGGATCCTGAGGTGTGTGCTCTCTCCTGATTATACTCCAGGGGAGGATAGTGTATAGTGTCTGGGGATGGTTTGAGGGGAGGATGGAAGAGGCCAGTGTTGTTCAGAATGTTCCCGTTTGGAGCAGGAGCCCATAAGTTAACACCATCGATTCTTCTTGTCATTTTCCTGTGTGTGTTTCATGGTTAAGCAGCTTAGCAGGCTCTACCCTCTGGGTCTGCTGCCATCCTCAGAAAATCAGAATGAACTGTCTGGAGAAAACAAGCTGGATTGATATAATTCATGGTATGGCTCTCCTGAGATGAGTCAGAAGATATTTTTATTTTATAACCACTCGAAAGAACCTGCATTATCAATAGCACAAAAATGCCTCTCACATGCTCCATGTAGACCAACCTTATTTGACATGTTCATCAACCTCCAAGCCTTTAAGATGCCAGGCCACCCTTTCTGTGGCAGTCATCAACCTCAGGTGATCGCTAAAAGACAGAGAGAGAGAAAGGAAAAGCCCTGTAATCCTCCCACGAAGGCTGGAAGAGACGTGGAAAATGGGAAAACACCTGGTCTCACGCTTGCTCTCTGTTTGTTGTGGAAACAATCTGTTCATATTTAACGAGAAATGACATAAGAAAGCGTTTGTGGTTATCACTCTAGCCACTTGATCTCAAGAGTTGGACTTTCTCAGGTCTGAATGTAACTTCAGGATTTAAGAAGGAAATGTACTGTATAAAAGAAAATTGAGCTTACTGAGATAAAGACTGCCCAGAGAACTGAGCCTATGACCATCGTACCAGGGACATCTTGTCGTTGTGCCAAGCCTCCATCTTTTCAGAACACTCCATTCTTGCCAAAGGGCCAACATCTTATAAAATGCTTTAAAACATTGAATTTTAACAATGCCGAGCAGCAAAACGGTTTGCTTTTAATGGCCATCTGTACAAAGTCTCTTTTTATTTAGGAAAATCTATTTTAAATTAAATATCATAAGCCCACGAGCCATAGCAAACAATATTTTTGACCATATGCTCCGAATTAATATGCCAAACATTGCAACCTCTATTTTCTTCATAGAAAGGGGCCCCACCCTGATGTGGGGATGCGGAGCCTGGAGGGTAGGAATTTTCAATAAGGGCCTGAGGATAGGATGATGGCAAGGAACCAGCACCAGCCTCCCCAGCTTTATCCTTCTTCTGAATTATCTCAACACAGACCCACTTCCCTTTTAAGAAAGAAATTCCCTTTGGTCCATTTTTCTCCCTTGTCTGGAAACCTCATACCCAGGAATCCTAGTAATGCTGGCCACACTTTAGATGACTTGGTAAAGTTGCTATAATTCCTTTCATCTGTTGCTTGCTTCATTCCTGGGTGATAGGGTTTGAAAACCAGTTCCTTTAATCAGGTGTTGGGCAGAAGTGGAAACTCGGGGCTGAGGTCCTAGTGTGGGCTACTTCGCCCACTGCCCCCAGGGGCATCCCTCCTTGCCCTCCTCCAATTCCTTCTGCAACTCTTCCATGCATGATGGTCAAAGAGTAACAAGGCTTCTTTGGGAGCCTGAGCCCCATGGCCACCAAGAATGCAATGAGCTGTTTGGTCCTTGACAAGGTAGGGAAACTAAGAGGATTCATGTAGAAGGGGGCTGGCTGCCTGCAAAGACACTTTGCAAAGGGAGAATCTGATTGCTTGGGGACTGGTTTCCTGGGAGCTACGGTGCCCTAAATCTGAGCATGAAAATCTGATCCTTTGTAAGATCCCAGGGCTNGCCTGCAAAGACACTTTGCAAAGGGAGAATCTGATTGCTTGGGGACTGGTTTCCTGGGAGCTACGGTGCCCTAAATCTGAGCATGAAAATCTGATCCTTTGTAAGATCCCAGGGCTGGGCTGCACGTGGCTGGCACCTCTCCTGCAGGGGTGGTCACACCAGGAGTTGCTTCAGGCACTGGAATCATTTTTTGTGTGGAGACTTAAAAATCCTCCAGCATGAGATTTGACTTTTTGTTCCTGCTGCTCATGCTCCCTCCCTCCAGTAATTCCTTCCTCCTGTGTCCCCTTCTCCCATCTTACCCCTTTTCTCTGTTTTTTTACCTGCTTTTCTTCCCCTCACTTTTTTGAGTCTCTGTCTATGCAACCTTGGGTGTTACTATAATTATTTTCAATATCTAGGATTTTTGGTGACATTTTGATACCCACCACGTATCATTCAATTTATAAACATCATTGTCAAACCTTACCATGGGGACTTGGGGATCCTCACCCCCTTGTTAGAGAAAATGGATTCTGAGTGAGGTCAGGTGAAATGCCTGAGATTACACACACCATAGTAGGAAGTTCTGTGGAGTTCCAAAGTCCATATTCTTTTTCCCACCCTTTAATGATAGTCACATTCCATGTTTGATCTCTTTCTTTGTAAAATGAGTTTTATGGCTCCATAACATTATTGGGTCTTTCCAACTGGGCTGTGTATTCATCCATGCATATCCCCCTTAGCACTCTCCCTGTATTCTGTCTTCTAAGTTATAAATCATTTCCTGAGCCACATAGCAGATGTGTTAGGAGGACAAGCTTTGGAGGAAGACAGAGCCGGGTCGAGTTCCAGGTCAGCAGTAAATAGCGGTTGCTGAGTTTTGATTTGATTTTCCCTTAAATGGGGTGTTGTGTGTGTGGAGGTGGGGAGTTGCTTAAAAATAGGACTTCTGTCTTATTGTTGATATGCAGATGATTGAGACATTAGGAGCTACATACCTTGCCAAGGCGTGGTACACAATTAGTACTAATTTACTCCCTCTCAACCTCATCTTGAGACCTGCACCCCTTCACACTCCAGCCTCACCAACTGTTCTCCTTCCTTTCAAGGTTCCGGGCTCTTCCTTGAACAAGAGTCTGTATGTCCATTGTTAACCTCTCATTTGACGTTTGCCTTTCTATCATGTTCCAGGGTTATAGGCAAGATTCTTTAGTTACAAGCAAAAGGAACCAATTTTGATTAATTTAGGTAAGAATCAATTCCTCAAAAGGATATTCCTCAAAAGTTTGCAAAATTAAAAAGAACCCAACAGCCAGGCCCTGGAACAAAGGAAAATCAGGACGGCTGGTTCAGTCTTTGTTGTTGTTTAGTCGCTAAGTTGTGTCTGACTCTTTTGCCACCCCATGGACTATAGCCCACCAGGCTCCTCTTCCGTGGGATTCTTCAGGCAAGAATAGTGCAGTAGTGCCACTTCCTCCTCCAGAGGATCTTCGTAACCCAAGGATCGAACCTACAGCTCCTGCATTGGCAGGAGGATTCTTTACCACTGAGCCACCATGGAAGCTTCGTGGCCAGGTGATAAAGTGCCCCCAATCTCAATGGCATGAAACAAGAACAGTCCTTTATTTCACTTACAAATCTTCAACCTGGACAGGGGAACCCCTCCCCTGGGGGGGTGTCAGCTGCCATGGCCCAGATGGGAGCTGGAGGCCCCACTTTCAATGTGGCTCAGTCACATGGCTGGTAGCTGAGAGCTCACTTGAACTGGGGAGCTGGGAGCCTTGGATCCTTCCCACAGGCTCTTGAGCTTCTCTACAGTATGCCTAAGTATTTGGTACTGGCTTCATTGCGATGAGCCTGGAACATAGAGGGTTCTAGAAGGGAGGTAGCTAGGTTTCATTGTAGGTAGGTTCCAAGGATCCCAAGAGAGCCTGCTGAATGTTATATTACCTTTTGGGATGTAGCCTCAGAAATCACAGAGCATGATTTCCACTCGTCATAAGGCCACTCACTCAGATTAAGGGAGAGAGAACAGCCCTACATCTCAAATGGAGCAGGATCAAAGTCACATTGTAAGAAGAGTGGGTAGGAGTGGAAATACTACTGCAGTAATCTCTGGAAAACAAAATGTGTCTCAGCTTCTCTGGGGAAGTTTCACTGTTCTATGTATTGTCATCAGTGAGTTCGGCAGCTATTGCTAGTGTTCTTCTGCGTTTGATTTAAACTCAGCTTCTAGGAGGGAGAATCTGATTGGCCTGAAGTGTGTCATGTGACTTCCCATGGTCTTTAGATCGGAAGGTGTGATGGGGATGCCCTCCGGCATCACAGGACATGAGAGAGGTCAGTTCTGCAAAGGAAGAAGTACTAAGTAGGTCAAAACAACTTATGTCCGCTCCCCCTACTTAATGCTCAGTTTAAAGGTCGCTTCTGAAGGAGGCTGTCCCTGAATCTCTTCTTACTGAAGAATGCATCTCTGTTCTGTGTTGTCTCATATTATAAAATCTTCATTAGTTTGCTAGAGCTACTATAACAAAGTACCACAAACTGGTGGCTTCAACTACAGAAATGTATTGTCCCAGAGTTCTGGGGACTAGAAGTCCAAGATCAAGGTCATTCAGGTTGGTTCCTACTGAGGAAGAATCTGTACCATGCCTCTCCTCTAGCTTCTGGAGGTTGGCTAGTAAACTTAGAAGTTTTATGCTTGTAGAGGCATCATCCTGATCTCCAACTTCATGTTCACCTGGCATTATCCCTACTCTCATGTCTGTGTTAAAATTCCTCTTTTAAAAAGAGGAACACCCAATAAATAAATAAATAAATAAAAATAAATTAAAAAAATAAGAACACCTGCCTTATTGGATGAGGGACATTCTACTTCAGTATGATCTCATCCTAACTAATTATAACTTCAGTGCTTCAATGACTTTATATAAGGTCACATTCTTAGGGCTTCAGAATGAAGCTAGGACTTCAATATGAATTTTGGAGGGATGTAATCCAACCCATAGCAAAGTTATATAGACAGAAGCAAAGCAAATAATATTGCAAGCACACATATTATAAACATGTATTTATTCATACATATCCTCGTCAGGTTGAAACCTTTTCCCATATTTGTTTCATATTTCTTTTGTAAGGAAACAAAATGTTATACAGTTGAAGTCCCTGTGTATCCCTCCCCAGTTTCATTCCCCTCTCTCCCTCCCCAGAAGTCACCATCATGAGGAATTTGTTTGCATCATTTCTATGCATGTTTTGACATCTGAAAAGGACCTAATATGCAGTATGAGAGAATACAATATGCAATATTTTGAAATTTTTAAAAACTTTACTATAAATAGTGCCAGTCTCTTTGTGCCCTATTAAGATTTATCAATGTGAACACATATGGCCTTCATTCATTTTTATCTACTGTATAATATTCTAGTCTATGAATATAAAGTAATATATTCATCCATAATGGCCATTTAGGTTGTTTCTACAAATCACACTGAAAGAAACCCTCTTGGACTTGTCTCCATGAGCATCCAAGTGGGAGTTTCTCTAGTTTCTAGTTTTTCTAGTTTCTAGTTTTCTAGTTTCTGTAGTTTCTCTTCAACTTTTCTAAATTTTACCAGGTCGCACTTCAAAACGGTGATCCCATCTTACACCCCTACTGGTGATATCTGAGTTACCAGGCTCTACCTCTCCCCTCGCACTTGATATTGTCAGAGATTAGAACATTTGTCAAAGGTATAATGGTTTTAATTTGATTTGTCTTTCCCTGATAGTTCTGGAGGTTGAACATCTTTTCATGTATTTACTGATCATCTATATTTCAATCTGTTTATCATTAATCTTATCCAGTTGCCATTCTTTGCTCTTTAGACTTTCTGGATAAGAATCCTTGTCAGTTAGGTGCATCGACAATATCATCTCATGCTCTTTTATGCCCATTCTCTCCACTAGTGTCCACAACTCTTCCCCCTTTTCCTCGGATCTCACCTCAAAGTCTTACCTAGTATTTCCTGAAGTGTATTTCTCAGGATTTAAATCCTTGAAATAGCTCACAACAATAGAGATCTGTGATCAATTAAGTTTGGGGGAAAATTGCATGCTATACACTGTACATTTGGCATGTTAAAGGCCCTGAAAGGTCCTGCTGAGAGAAACCTGTTAAACTTTCTCACACCCAATGCTTTTCATTTAACTAGAGTCTTCTTTTGAGTAAAACTTACAATCATCTTGTAAAACTAGTATTTTCTTGAATAAATACCCTTGGATTATTGCAAAATTTTCATTAATTTCCAGAGCTCTAAAAAAGCTGATTTAAATAATTTTCTCTATGTTACTTTTTTGCCCCATTGCTTTTATAGAAGAGCAGATTTCTTGATTCCTTCTTTTCTGGAAGTCTTGTTTTTGAGAAAAAATATGTTCAGACACACTTGGACTAATGCTGACTTCTCCTTTTTGTGATACCATCCATCAAAACTACATTTCTTTATTCTTCTCTTCTGAAATCTCTTTCCATTCAGGGTCTCTCTTCAATCATTTTGGGACTCCAGGTGGCTTCCTAGTGTCCACACAAAATGACTGTAATTATGCAGAAAAGTAGTACATGGTTTTCTCTTTTCTAATTATATTATAAAGTCCAATACTTCAAAAAAATTTTTTTAAGTTTATTTACTTTTTTTAAAGTTCAATACTTGTTAACACACTGGTTGTATATTCCCAGTGTTTGTTAATAAGTGAGCTATTGGACTTCAGGAAACATTTTCCTGTAGAAACAACTTTTTATAACAGAGTTGATCAAACTTTTATGTGCATGTTGAATCACCTGGGGGCCTGGTTAAATAGCAGATTCTGATTCAGTAAGCCTGGGAGGGAAGGGGTCTGTGGTTCTGCATTTCTAAGTGGAATACCCATGGATCACAATGTGGGTAGGCAAATACTGTAAGGCTATTCACCATTCAAATATTTTCTCTATGGGAAAATGCACTAGGTTCTTTTTTTCTTTTTAATTCATATATTTGGCTATGCTCGGTCTTCGTTGCTGCAAGAGACTTCTCTCGTTGTGGTGAGTGGGGGCTCCTTTCTGGTAGTGGTTCATGGGTTTCTCACTGCAGTGGTTTCTCTTCATGTGGAGCACTGGTTCTAGGGCACACGGGCACAGTGGGTGGCACCGCTGCTTAGCTAACCCTGCAGCAGGTGGGACCTTCCCAGCCCAGGAATCAAACCTCTGTTTCCTACACTGGTAGGTGGATTCTTTACCACTGAGCCACCAAGGAAGCCCTGAACGAAGTTCTAATGTGGGGACAATGTGTTCCTGAAATACCAGTTATAGGGACAATACACGGGGGAAAAAAGCTTCAGATTGCCATCAAAACTACAGGTCATCCATGACAGAGACTAAGAAGGCTTGTATGGGTTGCCGTGTGAACCAATATTCAGGGGGTCTTAATGCAAGAATTGCCAGTATTTGTAGCTGATTTTCACATTTACACGGAGAAGGCAGTGGCACCCCACTCCAGTACTCTTTCCTGGAGAATCCCATGGACGGAGGAGCCTGGTGGGCTGCAGTCCATGGGGTCGCGAAGAGTGGTACATGACTGAGTGACTTCACTTTCACTTTTCACTTTCATGCATTGGAGAAGGAAATGGCAACCCACTCCAGTGTTCTTGCCTGGAGAATCCCAGGGATGGGGTTGCACAGAGTCAGACACGACTGAAGTGACTTAGCAGTTCACATTCACATGAATGTGCTTCCTGGGAATCATTCCATCTAGCAAGGCCCATCTCTGTGGTGAAATAAGCAGTATCTTGTACACACCAAGGTTCTCAGAGACTCTGGCATGGTGCTAAGAGGGGCTGAAAGTGGGCTGAAGGTTTGATTGCCTAGATTGGGATATCTGATGCCCTGGTGGTCCTGTGGTTAAGATTTCATCTGCTAATGTAGGAGACACAGGTTCGATCCCTGGTCCAGGGGGATCCCACATGCCACAGAGCAACTAAGCCTGTGTGCTGCAACTACCAAGACAGCATGCTGCAACTACTGAAATTCCAGTCCTCTCGAGCCTGTGTTCCACAACAAGAGAAGCCACTACAATAAGAAGCCCTCACACTGCAACTACAGTGTACCCCCCACTAGCTACAACTAGAGGAAAACCCTCAAAGCAATTAAGACCCAGCACAGTCAAAAAAAAAAAATAGCATAGTAGTCTCTCCACTGACCTTAGAATAAACCCCCAAGCCCTGCTCATGGGCTGTCACATCCTCTCTGACCCCTGCCTGTGTCTTTGACCTTCTCTTCTACCAGTCCGTCCTTTGCTCATGGCATTTGGACCCCCTGGGCTTTCTCTGTGCTTCTCAAATATCTTAAACTTTCACCCTTAAAAAGATCCTCCCACTGGTTATTTGTCCTTGCTGTTTCAAGTCCCTAGGGAGATAGTGTCCCAGATCTTCACCATGCTGGCTCTCAGCTCAGATGTCTTCTCTCCAGAGAAGCATTTCATGACCTGTCCATCTGCCATTGATTGACTATCCTCTTTCTATTCATTGCACTACTACTAACATAAAAGATCATACATATGCATAGAGTGGAAGCTATGTCCCCTTACCAGATTCCTATGCCTGTGTGCCTACTCTCTAAATGCTGTGAGTTTTGACTGCTATTGGCCTACTCTGCACCCTTCTCTCAAGGCTCACTCTTGGTCAGCAGGAGTCACCCAGCCCAAGGATGCAGAGGACACTATGACAGTGGACACTGAGCCTACATGGGCGCTTGCAATCTATGACCGACTAGTTGTTTATTTGCTATGTCATGTCTGATTCTTTGCAACCCCATGGACTGTAGACCGCCCAGCTCCTCTGTCTAAGGGATTTCCCAGGCAAGAATCCTGGAGTGGGTTGGCATTTCCTTTTCCAGGGGATCTTCTCAACTCAAGGATCAAATCTGTGTCTCTTGTGTTAGCAGGCTGATTCTTGACCACTGAGCCACCTGGGAAGCCCACATCCAAAAGCCCAGGCCTGGTGCAGTGCCTCAAAGGTTGGTCACTCTTGGGGCTATGCAAGCTCTAAGCTTTCCTGGGACCAGGTTGAGGCTGGACTCAGCTTTGCTCACCTTCATCCCCTCTTCTGCCCTCTACATCTCCTTATTAAGTTCCTATAAGTCTCCTCTATGGAGTCTTCAATAAATCTTCATAAGAATCTTCGTCTCAGACCTTATTTCTAGAAAACTTAACTTGGACAATCTGTTTTCCCCACTAGAGTCTAAACTCTAAACCTCCTCCTTCCATGGGAGCAGAAACTCAGTTTATTTAGTTCACCCCCATTGTCAGCACAACACTTATTTCATAATAGATGCTCAATAAAGAAGCACTGAATAAATGCTGCATGAATAAATCTGGTTTTCCATAATCAGCTTCAGAGTAACCCTAACATTAGGGTTACAATCCACCCATCCACCCAACCCCACAAAAGGACATACTGGGCCGTATTAGAAACACGTGAATATGCCTTCCCATGAAGTACACTGCAAGTGTGCTTCTCTTATTTTTATCCTTATGAAATGTGAACCCATAAAAAGCTGGGGGTGGGGGTGGAGATGCCAAATCCCACCCCACAATACGCCTCCTTCAAGTATCTGATTACACAAAGTCCTCAAAGAATATGATTAATGTAACTAAGCCATATTCACACTCTGACATTCTTCCCAGCCAAACACATATTTTAACCTCACCCAGTCCCTTTCAGCAAATAAGCTGTTTGGAAAATGATTTCCAGGGCGATGTCTGTTGCCATAGGAATGACATTAAATGAAAAGGACGGAAAATATAGAGGGTGATAAACTGCTTGCTTGGATGACACACTTGACTTGGAAGCCTGTGTTCAAATGAGGCACACATGCCAAGATTTTTATGAAAGACAAAATTAAAATGTATCGCTATCAAGCTGTAACTGACAAGGTATTGTGTGGTGGGCTGTTAACATACTGCTCCATATATTCATTGTTTGTCATTTTACTGGCCCTGACAAAGGTCTCTCGGTGCTGTAAATCACGCCATTAAATCTGCCACAAGCCACAGAGGCTGTTGGAAAGAAGAGAAAGAAAACGTAGTGATGAATCTCCGTTTCTGATACACGCCGGGTGAGCGATCCTGTCTTCCAAGGAGACTTCTCCCTTTGGGCTGACACTTTTATAAGTGTCAGATTGTTGGCTTTTGACCCCTTGAAAAGAGAGAGGAAAAAAAAAAAAAAGAGCAGCCAAAGCTGGGTCCCTCCCCCTCCCCTGTTTCCAATTGCTTCTAATTCTGCTGTTTAAGAAAGATGCCCAGAAATTACTCCCCACTCCAGCCCTATGTATACTCTTTCGGGGTGCAAGATCTCAGAGACTCTGGGATGCCCTGTGGATGGTGCTCTGCTAGAGCTGGCTTTTGATGGTTACTTGGGGGTGTTCTTGGCTTGTTGTTGCTGTTTAGTCGGTAAGTCGTGTCCTACTCTTTTGTGACTCCCATGGACTGTAGCCCATCAGGCTTCTCTGTCCATGGGATTTCCCAGGCAAGAAAACTGGAGTGGATTGCCATTTCCTTCTCCAGGGGATCTTCCTGAAGTAGGGATTGAACCTGTATCTCCTGCATTGGAAGGCAGATTCTTTACCACCAAAGACCATGCTTGGGTTACCATAAGACTTTTCTCTACACTGGTTAAGACATGTTTGTCCTGGAACTGGTAAATTTATAGTTTCTTCATACCTGCAGCTGCAGACCAAATGTGATGTGTGACACCAGTGACTGCAGAACAAGATATTAAGCAACTCGGTACTGTCTTTCGTCTTCGCTGAGCCTCAGAAGACTTGACTTCTTGACCTGCCCCTTTCTCTTCTTGACCTGCCCCTTTCTCTTCTTTGCAGATGTTGATGGCACAGAAACATTGCCTAGAAGCTGGCCAGTCTGAGTGCTAGGGTCGGGGGAAAGTTGAAAGGTAAATCAAGATCTAAGTTGGAATCATAGCTTCGAGGCAATAAGATGTGCGATTTGCCCTGTGGATGGTGCTCTGCTAGAGCTGGCTTTTGATGGTTACTTGGGGGTGTTCTTGGCTTGTTGTTGCTGTTTAGTCGGTAAGTCGTGTCCTACTCTTTTGTGACTCCCATGGACTGTAGCCCATCAGGCTTCTCTGTCCATGGGATTTCCCAGGCAAGAAAACTGGAGTGGATTGCCATTTCCTTCTCCAGGGGATCTTCCTGAAGTAGGGATTGAACCTGTATCTCCTGCATTGGAAGGCAGATTCTTTACCACCAAAGACCATGCTTGGGTTACCATAAGACTTTTCTCTACACTGGTTAAGACATGTTTGTCCTGGAACTGGTAAATTTATAGTTTCTTCATACCTGCAGCTGCAGACCAAATGTGATGTGTGACACCAGTGACTGCAGAACAAGATATTAAGCAACTCGGTACTGTCTTTCGTCTTCGCTGAGCCTCAGAAGACTTGACTTCTTGACCTGCCCCTTTCTCTTCTTGACCTGCCCCTTTCTCTTCTTTGCAGATGTTGATGGCACAGAAACATTGCCTAGAAGCTGGCCAGTCTGAGTGCTAGGGTCGGGGGAAAGTTGAAAGGTAAATCAAGATCTAAGTTGGAATCATAGCTTCGAGGCAATAAGATGTGCTATTTGGGCAAGTTATTAAATCTCTGTGGACCATAGTTTTCCTCATCTGTTTAGAAAAAGGGGGTGTTGGATTTCAACTACTTCTAAATTGTCTTCCAGGTCCAGTTTAGAATAAATTAAGGGACCAAGAGAGGCTCTCTGGGCCATTTGACTACCTCTGGCAAAGGCTTGCCTGTATTATCCAGAATACATCTCAATCAGAGGAGAGTCTAAATGAAGGACAATCAGGCAATGTGGTGTTCTCGAAGGGGAAAAAAAGGAAAAGAAAAAACACTACCTCCAGCATCTAAACTTGGGAGTGGGAAGATGAGAATTCAATCACTGGTTTGGAGTGGGAACAGTGTTTTCAAGATTCATTAAATATGACAGAGTTCCCTGCCAGTACTTCTCTGTAATGTCTGCATTTATTTTTATAACACAAATGGATATTTTAGGCAATAGAGTTTAAAAGATCAGACAGCTTTCATCCTCACACTTCGGTGCAGAATATTTTTTCCCAAAATCTCTGCTAAGAACCACCTTTATGCTGTTTGAGGATCACCTTGTACAAAAATTAAGAGGGTTTTTTTGTTTGTTTTTTTTAACATTTTTGAGACATAATTTTTGTTTTGTTCAGAATTCTGTACATGCAGGCTTCAGATTGAGCAACCTATATATTGAGTTTGCAATAATCCTGTAATTATAGATTTGAGAGAATGTTAAAATTGCTTATAATTGGGAAAAGTCTGACCAGTGAACCGTGCCATTCTTTCATCGACCTTGTTATAAGCAAGCCCCACCCTAGCCTTCAAACTGCTTGGAGAAGCTGTTTTAAGATGCTCTTCTGATAAGGATAGACAAATAACAAAGTATGAAGTTTATATTTGGAGTTTATCCCTAGGCCTTGGTTCTGTTTCTGTAGTTAATACTGATTTGCCACTTTTCCTACGGAGTTAATCATTGCTCGCTACTTAAGAGACCGGGTTCTAGAATCTGCCGTAGCTGAAGTCACAGCTCTATCATTTACTTGCTGTGTGACTTTGGGGGAACCATTTCACCTCTCTGAGCCTTATTTTTCTCATCTCTAAGACATGGCTATTATGATTTAATGAGATAAAGCATGCTATACTTGATTTGCTACATAATAGGGGCATGATGAATCTTAAAAACCATTAGTTATTATTATTATTCATTGTAATTCTAGAAAATTCAGGCAATATTTCAAAACTTTGATCTGTTCCACCTATAAAAAAGTAATGTTACATATGCTGTCAGTTTTACAAGACTGATATTAAATCAGCTGTAAAAACAGGACTCAAAGCAATTTGAGATTTATGAAGTATAGATTAAAATAAAGAAGTGATGATTATTTTCACTTTATTCGGTCTTGTGTTCCAGACCAAGAAATCTTCAAGTGACAGCTTTAGTTATCACCAGATTACTTGAAATTTTTTGAACATGATATAAAAGTACGTCATATAAGAGAAAAAAATAAGTTACATCTAATATCCACAGCGTTGGTCAATTAACAAAAGCTTGAATCTGTGGTCTTTTTCCTTGTCAACTGTGGACAATTTTGTACTGAAAGTTTAAATGAGATCTTGTATGTTAGTAGGAAAAGATCCAGGTGTGTGACATTTCTAATTCTTATGCAAATTAAAACTATTAATATTTTCCCAAGCTTAAGAAAGCTCCATCAAGGAAGATTATCTAAACCTATTTCATAGCATTGAACTATTCAAATATATTTAGAAAAATATAGAGTATTCAAATTCATTTTCTATTTTAAAAAGTTAAATTCATATTCTATTTAGAACTTTTTAAAAAAACAATGAGATGAACATGTCAAAAGAAAAAAAAAATGTGCAAAAGGATATATATTGGGTTGGCAAAAAATTTTGAATGAATTCTTTAGCCAATCCAGTAATAAGCCAAAGGGAATACACATAACTGATATACTCACAGATAGTCAAAGAAATAGAAGTGAACATGAGGATGCAATTTTTTTCTCTTAACCATTTTGGCAGAGCAGAGTGAGTGATGAGGCTGTTTAGGTCAGTGAGAGTTGATGGGAATAAGAATCTCATATGGCCTATTACTAGTGGAATTACCTCTGGGTGGTGACATTAAAGATGATCTTGATATCATTTTTTGAACATGGGTATTCTCCAAAGAGACCCTGATGCTGGGAGGGATTGGGGGCAGGAGGAGAAGGGGTCGAAGGAGGATAAGATGGCTGGATGGCATCACTGACTCCATAGGCATGAGTGTGAGTAAACTCTGGGAGTTGGTGATGGACAGGAAGGCCTGGTGTGCTGCGATTCATGGGGTCGCAGAATCAGACACGACTGAGCGACTGAACTGAACTGACTGATAAGTAGAATATTGATTTATAATTTTGTTTTCTAGCTTTTCAGTGGTCTGCTTCCTGCGCAGAGTTTTAGTTGAGTTAGAGATGTTTGGATGAATGTAGAGTCCTCATACTGTCCCATTTCTCACTGCGGTTAGTTCTTTAATATCCTAAAATTTATAAGCCCCCACAGAGTTCCTTTCATGTTAATTTACTTAGAATTTCCTTGAAGATGAAGTTACGTCCATCAACAGAATTCATTAAGTACCAAGAACAATTTTGCCTTGTTTACATTTAAAGGAAAAATAGAGTCAAAATGTAAAATGTTCCTATTGGGGAAAGGCTGGATCTCATACTTAATTTCAGGGGCCAAAAAGACTAGGGAAAAATTCAGTTATGAATTGGAGGCTGATTCAGTTATGATAATCTCTCCATTTGGTGGTTTAGCGTCATGCACTTTATTTTCTATTAACATATAGTCCAGTTGACGTAGGCGCAGGCGTAGAGTAGGAGCAAGCTGCCATGTGGTTATTCAGGAGCCCAGGCTGATGGAGGCCGTACCGTCTTTGCCAGGAGGAATCCAAGGATGTCCGCAACCAGGCCTGAGGAGAGGGCAGAGGGCCACTCAGGCCGTTTCATGGGCCAATCCTAGCAGTGGCAATTCTGCCTGCACGCCACCAGTTAGTGGAGTATTTGTCTCCTGACCACACCCCACTACAAGAGAGGCTGGCCACTGTCGTCTGTCCATGTGCCAGGAAGAAAGGGAATTAAGTGTGATGAACAGCAAACCGCTCTGCCCATCTCTAATATCTGGTATGTTTCATCAGGCTATTCAAGGCATTTGTGACGGTCCGAGGATTCAAATCAGTTTTCCTTCCCACTAAGGGTTCCAGACGTTTTCTCCCACATTGATCATTCCCACTCTCCTTCTCCCTGATGGGCCCTGGTCTGGTGTCACTGTTCACAGATATTTATTTCGTGAATGCATGCCCTAACCTTTTCTCCCAGCTTGCCCTGTCATTTTGCATACCTTCTATCCGAGTAGCAATGTCACAACAGTAGCTCCTCTTTGTAAAATACTTTCATGTGCTACCTTTAGACACATGATGTGCTGTTCCATGAGGACATCAGGACAAACCTAAAAAACAAGTAATGATATTTTCATGAATGAGGACCTAGGCATAGAGGTATATGACACATTAGTGACTGATCCCATAAAATTCATGAAGGGCAGAACTGGTAAATGAACTTCAACCTTTCTAATTCCAAAGAATTTCTACTCTGCTACACTGCCTCCCAGCCCCTACTCTCAATTCTAGTTTCTGGAGATTACCTCTTCTCTCCCTGATTTTCCTTGTTCTGCTCAGCTGTCTTTACACCTGCCTTGGCTCTAATACCTACCTGTAACTTTTCAGCTGAAAAATCTCTGAAGGCCAAGTTTCTTAGTGCTTCACAAGATGCCTTTTCCAGTCATTTTTGTAACCTCTGGCTTCTCTCCTGTCAGTCTTTGTGACTCAATTCTGCAAAAGTCTATAGTGATCCTGTTGTAATAGTCAACAACATTGATTGAGTGCATACTGTGTGCCAGGACTCTGCTTCATGTTTTACATGAATTATCTGAAATGATCCTTCAAATCACCTGGTGAGGGTGGGGGGTTGAGGAGGTGGGTAAGTAGCCACTATTTTCAATTCTATTTTACAGGTGGATAAACTGAGATTCATGAGAGTTTCTTGCCCAAGTTTGTCCATCACAAGCCAATTTTAGAATCCAGGTCTTTCATCTTCAAAGCCACTGATTCTGGTGGTTTTCCCTCTTCTGTGGGGCATGGCTAATGTCAGGGTAGGAGAATTATCCACCTGGATCAGAAGTGCACACTGATCTTAGCAATTCATAAAACACATCTATACTTGTACAGAAATACTTGCCCCCCCCCCCACCGCCCCCAACCCACACACACAGGACATCAATCCCTTCTGCTTAGGAGGGATTCAGATATAGCATCACATGGCCTCTTGTTTTCATATGTAGTCAGATACTCAAATCAGTTCAAACTTCTTTTTATGGAAAACTATTTTCTGTATAGTATAATTTTCCATAGTTCTCAATGCAGTGGTGAAATTGGATCAGCCCATCACCTGCATTTATTTTCTTTTCCCAGGCAATTTTGAAAGAGGTGTAAAAGATCTTTTTTATTTTTTTCCTTTTAATGTTAATCTTCAAAATTCTTCTGGGGCATATAATCCTGAAGTCAGCTTAACTGCAACCAATACTGAGTGTTCATTTTTTCACAAGCAAACAAAAACAACTAGCAGAAAGATAATTGACCAGTGTAAATTCCTTTCTGCTGATCCCTTTTATATAAAAACATATTTTTTGATCTTTTGCTTTCAGTTGTATGAAGTATTGAGAGCTACATTTTGAAGAGAAGAACATAAGGAAATTACATAGAATGGGATTTGGGAGTGCCATTATATTTTTACTCATCTGTAATACATTTGCTGTATTTTTTGGCATGTGCTTAAAGAAGGCAGCACACAAGGCTATTCTAAGGAAGTACATCTAAATAGAAGAACAAACTTAATTGCTTAATTTCTTTAAAAAAAGAAGCTGTCAAATGAGCACATTATGAAAGCAACTTCCGAATTATCACATTTTAAAGGTGTCTTGATAGCTTGGGTAACTTCTGGCATAAATTTTACATAGATATTTCTCATTAATTTAAATCAGCCAATTTGATAGGATGCAAAATCCCATGAGCTTTCATTTTTGTCTTCCTATTGACTGAAAAAGTGAAAGATAACTAGAAGCTCTGAAATCATGCACCTCTCTTATCTATATTCTTTATAAGATTTCGTTTAAAAGCACAAAAGCTTTGAAAGCATCTTGTTACAATCATCAATGGCTGTTTGTTGCAAGACTTAAGCAGAATCTTGACCCAAATGTCAAGATTTTTATCCCTTTATTTTTTAGTATTCTTATTGAGCAGAGATCAGTAGAGAGTTGTTAGGAAACATGCTAAAGGAAATAAATGCTAAGCAGGCATTTTCACCAGAAAAATCTCTCCTCCAGTCAGAGGAAGTTTTCACATGAAACATCCCTCTGCTCACGGATTCTAACAGCAGAAGCTTTCTTTCCCACAGGTGATTTCTCTCCCAGCTCCAAATGAGAGACCTTTCTGTGTCTGCCAAGAGGGTGCCCTGTCATCTGGGAGCTTTGCTGCCTAGATCTACAAGAAAATCAGAGCATCTTGATCTGATAAACAAACGTGTCATGTTTCTTACCTGGTAGATAGGCTTTGGGGTTTAAACATTTTGTAGGTAAGGTTTCAAGGAATAGACTGAAACATAGCAGTGAATCCAAAAAGCCAGGAGGATCAAGATGGTACTGAAAATAAACATATAAAAAGTAAACCTCATGAGTGTGTAGTTGTTAATTCTACATGGTTGCTGATGATCATTTGTGACAAGGTCACCCTAACTACCTATGCTTCTTTCCCACACTAGACACTCCTCAACAGTCTCTTTTAAGAGTGGGTACTTGCCAAAGGAAATCTCAGTGGGCTGACACTTGCTCTGTGGAAGTCACCAGATAGAAATTAGAATCAGGGGGAAAAGGCAAGATGGTTGATGGTCTGGCAACATGTTTCTTGGTGACAACGTATCCTGAAACTAGTAATTTTAGTATGTGAAAGGAATTCAGCCAAGCTCCAATCTGGAAGGCAGCCGTGAATGTCTCAGCAAGAATCTCAGCAGGGCTACAGTTCCTTGTGTTTTAGACCTGGGAATGATCCCCCTGAAATCTTGCCTTCTTTGTCGTCTAATTGGCTGCATCAGTAAATTGCTGGTGGCGAACTTTAAAGGTTACAGAGCAGGAGTAGGCTGCAGCTTTACGGGAAGGCAGGTGTGAGGCCATTAAACATGCACTGAATCCCAGTGCTTTTAATCCCACTGACCAATTACTTGAACTTTAACTTGGAGCAAGTAACAGAAAACTGGGTTCCTACTGCGTCTGTGTGTATGCTTTAAATACATATATGTGGCATATACTATAATTGATCATGAAACATTATTCATATATTTTCCTTCCTCTTTTTCATTTTTTCCTTTGACATGCTTAAAATTGTTGATATGATTCTACCTTAACATACTGGAAAATGCTTTTAAAATAACTTCTTTGGGAAGATTAGTAAGAACTCAAGATTGGATTGAGATTTATACCAGGTGAGGCATTTTCAATCCTAATAATTCAATGTCTTTATATCAAGGATTCATGTGATCCTTTTACTTGAATTAGTTGCTCTAGAAGTATCTGCTTTTCTTTCTACCTCCCTTTAGGGTTTTAATGCTTCCATGAAAATACATAGAATTTATAAAAACATTCACAACAGAAATCCAATCATCAATATTCATTATCTAGTACATATTTAGCATTGTTTAGAGGATAAGGATTCCCTGTAAATAACAGAAGGAAACCTGCTTTCAGTTTGGAGGACATATATATATATATAATTAGAAATAAGTATAATACAGTATATTATCAATTACCAAGATGAATAAAATACATGTTCAATATCCTGTGATGTGCAGACTAGTTAATTCTGGTAAGCTTTTTAAGGGAGAAGAGATTTAAAAGAAACCTAGAATGATGATTTTTGAACAGAAAGCATGAGATGAACAGGAATGCCCTTCCTGAAAGGGTAAATAACTCGAGAAATGGAATCCCCTGAAATTTCATTTTTGTCAGCAAAGGGAGAAGCTTTCTTTTAAAAGCCAATTTTAGGAACAAATGAGGCATTGTGGCTTTTTCACCATGGAAAGAAAAAATAAAGGTAGTTGGTTCATTTCTCTCATCAGTAGGGCTGTCTTGTGTTGTAAATCTTGGTTAAAATTTTAGGGTAGGGAAATATGTGATTTGGAGACCTGTGAATTTACTGTAAAATAACTATCAAAAAGACAGAGAAGGAAGTCTATAGAAACCTGAAGTTGGCTGGAATTCCCTAAAGGATATCTTGTTGGCCCCTCAGGTCTAAACTGGAGGCCAAAATGACTGGATAGTACACCCAGTAGAAATCAAGGGGACCCAGCTGAACTCATACCAGTAAATAAAGATATGTCTCCTATAAGAAGGGCTGAGGTGTCTAATTAATGCACTGTTTCTTCCTCAGCAGTTCAGTTAAAAGAAAGACCATCAAGAGAGGAAATGCTAATAGAATATTATAAGCCTTCCTGGCCTTTAAAAGGAAACCACAGAGCTAGCTGGATTGTAACAGCAAGCCTGGAAGTTGTGGGAAATCTTGGTTGGTGACTTTAGTCACTAAGTTCTACCTGATTCTTGGGACCCATGTATGGCAGCCCACCAGGATCCTCTGTCCATGGGATTTCCCAATGCAAGAATACTGGGGTGGAACTTGAGTTAGTCGGTCCTGAGAGATGGGCAAGCACCATTCCAAAGGGATGGGCAATGGCCTTCGTTTCCTTCAGCCAATTGAAAGGGAGTTGCGTTCAGATCCCTGAATCCAGATTGGCAGAGATGTGTGCCCCAAGGCGTCCAGTGCAGTAATGCAACTGATCCTGGGGAAGCTGGTGGTAGCCCTTGAGCGAGTCCTCTTTTCTTTGTGAAGGGCAGGACACCCCGGAATAAAATACTTAGGAATAAATCTACCTAAAGAAACAAAAGACCTATATATAGAAAACTATAAAACACCGATGAAAGAAACCAAAGATGACACAAATAGATGGAGAAATATACCATGTTCATGGATTGGAAGAATCAATATAGTGAAAAGGAGTATACTACCCAAAGCAATCTATAGATTCAATGTAATCCCTGTCAAGCTACCAACGGTATTTTTCACNACAGAGGAGCCTGGAGGTGTACAGTCCCTGGGATCACAAAGAGTTGGAAACAACTGAGCAACTAACACTCACACTTTCCCAAAGTCAGGCAATTTTTCTGGAAATCCGTCTGACCACTGAAGCAAAGTCAGTACAGAACTCAGATGTCCTCCTTGACTGAAAATTATAAACACACTTAAGTTATTTTGAGCCTGTTGCTTTTACTGTGTACTCTCTCCCATTCATTGTAACCCAAGTTTCTCTGGGAAGATTCCCTTACCAGATACTTCTTTACTTTGCTTTTAATGGTAATACTATAAATCATGTCCTATATATTGAATCTCAGGATGCTGCAACTGTGATGAACCAACATACGAAAAATCTCAGGATGCTACAACTGTGAGCAACCAAAATACAAACCAACATTTCACACAGAAGGCTCAGGGGACTTAGAAACTTACTAGTAGTCTTAGAGTATTTCAGTTTCTTTTTCTGAGGTGGGAGTAATTCAAGTTCCCTTAAACAGTTTTATTGAGATATAAAACAAACACCATAAATTTAATGCATTTAAAATTTACAGTTGATACATATGTACAAAATTGGAAAAGGAGTACATCAAGGCTGCGTATTGTCACTCTGCTTATTTAACTTATATGTAGAGTACATCATGCGAAATGCTGGGCTGGATGAAGTCCAAGCTGGAATCAAGATTGCTGGGAGAAATATGAATAACCTCAGATATGTAGATGACACCACCCTTATGGCAGAAAGTGAAGAGGAACTAAAAAACTTCTTGATGAAAGTGAAAGAGGAGAGTGAAAAGTTGGCTTAAAGCTCAATATTCAGAAAACATGTATATTATCACATGTGAAATAGATTGCCAGTTCAGGTTTGATGCATGAGACAGAGCACTCAGGGCCAGTGCACTGAGACAACCCTGAGGGATGGGATGGGGAGGAAGGTGGGAGGGGGGTTCAAGATGGGGGACACGTGTACACCCATGGCTGATTCATGTCAATGTATGGCAAAAACACTTTAAAATATTGTACAAAAACACTTTACAATATTGTAAAGTAATTAACCTCCAATTAAAATAAATTAATTAATTAAAAAATAAGAAGAATATTGGAATGGGTCATCAATTCCTTCTCCAGGGCATTTTCCTGGCCCAGGGTTTGAATCCGCATCTCTGAAGGCTTACAACAAAATTTATGATGATCTTTTCTCTAAAAAAATAAACCTCCATCTACAAATACAGCATTTGGGGATGAGAGCTTCTTTTCTGCCATGGAATAACATTCAAGGTTTGGACTTCCCTGCATCTCTCCCCCACCTGGAGTCCATCTTCTAGAGTTTCTGTGTGGCTGGATCATTAAAGGGCAACAATGAGAATGTTTCATCAATCACTGGGTCAGAAGGCATGGATTTTGGACTTTTTGAACATGACTCTGAATGGAAGAGATTTATTGAATTTTTTGGTTTAGTTTGTTTGCTTGGTGGGTTATTGAATCTGATATCAAAAGGACAAGAGTAGGAGGGATCAATCTGAAAAAAAAAAAAAAAAAAGACAAACAGGAACTGGGAGTTACCTAGCCAATGCTCCCTAAACTTTGAACCAAAATTACTCAGAACAAATTCAATTAAGATGGTAACTCCCCTTCCTGGAAGAGAAGAAAGCTCTGTTGTAGGATTCCATCATGAAACAACCGTGTGATAACCAACAAATTATTTTCAGTCAAAAATAAAGATCACCGTTTAAACACCACTTTAATTTTATGCACCCTACAAAATCTTGTTATGAGAAGAACCCCAGAGGTGACCTAGAATTTAAGATTTTATTTTTTAATTTTTTAAAAAATAGTTGTTTATATGGCTGTGTCTGGTCTTCGTTGTGGCATGTGGGATCTTAGTTATGTCATGAGGAACCTTTTGTTGCAATGCACAGACTCACCAGTAGTGGTGCACAGGCTTAGCTGCTCTGTGGCATGTGGGACCTTAGTTCCTCAAACAGAGACCAAACTTGTGTGCCCTGTATTGCAAGGTGGACATTTAACCTCTGGACCACCAGGGAAGTCCCTTAAGGTAAGTTTAGAAGCTCATATTTTAACCAGAGACTTAGAGCCTAGGCTTTATTTCTAACTCAAAGTACAAGAATCAAAAAAATTTTTAAATATATTCCCTATACAATTTGAAAGATATATTTTGTTTTTAGTTCAGTAATTATTGTGTTCAATTCTTGAGTGTTTACTATGTGCCGTTATAAGAACTGAAGGCAGCATTATATAATTTCCTACTCGTTTCCTCCTACCTTGGGGAAAAAACTATAATCCTTTTTATAGAGAGATACTGAGAAAGAACAGGTAAACCAGGTAGCCAGATCTCAGCAAATAACCCTAGAGAAGGAGGACAACCCAGATCTACTTGACTCTTGACTGAGTACTGTTAAATCATGACCATATCCTGCCCAGATTTTTTATTTAGAATTTTTCTGGTTTAGAATTGAGAAAAATAAAATACTCCTTCTAAAGTTAAGGAGTAAGGAAGATGCATAAAAATTCCAGAGAATATGTAGTCAGATAAGATATACAGTTTGTGGTAAAATGAAACAAAAACAAACACACAAAGAAACTTTCAGGAAATATCTGATTTTTCCAAATGATAGTGAAATGCTGACAACAATCTGTATATCTAAATAGTTGGAGTGATCAATTTGTCATCAGTTTCATTGCAAGATTTGTTTGAATGGAAATGTGTTCATAATCAAAGGTAATGATTCCCCATGATTGGGAATGAGCTGGTCTAGAAAAATAAATTTTCTACATGGTTGACACTAATATTTAATCTAAATTTAATCTAAATATTTTTCTGATGATTTGTGGTCTTAATTATGAACATCAGTTCTTATCCTGGCTGTAACTTAACTGAGATGCACTCTGAGGCAATTGAGATACATCAGATCACTGCCCCTGTAGAACCTGGCCCTTTACCACTGTGGCATCTATTTCTCATGTTTGCTTCTTGGTAATTTTCTTATTTTCCTTTCTACCCTTCCCTTTTGTTTATCTTCCAATTTTACCCTTACTTTTTCTACTTTTCTTTCTTTCTCCTTTCCATTCTTCTTTTTTTTTTTAATCTATCTAAAAAAATGTGTATTAGGAATATAAACTGGTGTGTCCACTATGGGTGGGTTTCCCTGATAACTCATTGGTGAAGAATCTGCCTGCCAATTCAGGGGATGTGTGTTCAATCCCTGACTCAGGAAGATCCCCTGGAATAGGAGATGGCAACCCACTCCAGTATTTGGGAAATCCCATGAACAGAAGAGCCTGGTGGGCTACAATCTAATGGGTTGCATGCAGTCACAAATTGCTGGGCTGGATGAACCACAACTTGGAACCAAGATTGCCAGGAGAATTAACAACCTTGGGTATGTAGACAATACCATTCTAATGGCAAAAAGTAAACAGGAACTAAAGAACATCTTGATGAGGGTGAAAGAGGAGAGTGAAAAAGCTGGGTTGAAATTTAGCATTCAAAAAATTAAGTTCATGGCACACAGTCCCATCACTCCCTGGCAAAGAGAAGGGGGAATAGTGGAAGCAGAAACAGATTTTATTTTCCTGGACTCTGAAATCACTTCAGCCACAAAATTAAGAGTCTTGCTCCTTGGAAGGAAAACTATGACAAACCTAGACAGCATGTTAAAAAGTAGAGACGTCATGTTGCCGACAAAGGTCCATATAGTCAGGGTTATGGTTTTTCCAGTAGTCACGTACAGTTGTGAGAGTTGGATCATAAAGAAAGCTGAGTGCTGAAGATTTGATGCTTTTAAATTGTGGTGCTGTCGAAGACTCTTGAGAGACCCTTGGATGGACTGCAAGGAGATCAAACCAGTCAATCCTAAAGGAAATCAACTGTGAATACTCCTTGGAAGGATTCATGCCGAATATGAAGCTCCAATACTTTGGCCACCTGATGTGAAGAGCTGACTCAATGGAAAAGGCCCTGATGCTGGGAAAGATTAAAGGCAAAAGGAGAAGGGGTGGTAGGGGATGAGATGGTTGAATGGCATCACTGACTCAATAGAAATGAGTCTGAACAAACTCTGGGAGATAATGAAGGACAGGAAGCCTGGCATGATGTAATCCATGGGGTCACAAAGAGTAGGACACAGCTGAGCAACTAAACAACAAGTCTTAAGCTGTCGGTTGTCACTTGTTCTAGTTGCCCACGTGCCTCCAGAGTTAGTGCCTTCACGTTCTGATGTACTGTTTTCACCACGCTTCATGTAATATTGCCTAAAATGAGAATAAATAGCCTCTAGGTGAAAGCCTGAGAGACCAATGGATCTATGAATTTTATGAGGCTTTATAGGATTTTATGAGACTCAGTAATTTAAGATGACTTTTAGCACTGGGCTCAATACTGAAACCAGCACCACAGGGTGAAAAGAATGTAAAATTTTTCTCTGTTGTTTATCACCCATATGACCTTGGCTAAGTCACGTTGCTTTCCCAGGCTTTGATATTATCATCTGCAAACTGGGAATGTGGGGAGGATTCAATGATAAACATCAATTCCCTAGTCTAATGCCTGGCATTTAAGTATTAAGTAATTTTACTATTTTGAGAGGGAAGAATTTTTTGTTTTCTTTTTATACAATTAATTTCAAAACTTATCATGTTTTAATTTTTGGAATAATGAGACACAAGACATGGCTCATTGTGGAAAATTTGAAAACTACAGGTTGGTATCAAGAGAATGTGAGAAATTTTCTTGTGATATTTTTCTACACATATATACTTTTGTCACATATACAAAATATATTGTTCATTCAACTTCATTTTATAGTTTTTCAAAAGCAAATTTTAAATATATCTGAGGTCAAATGCATAAATATTTCCAATTGTTAATGGTGTGCTGGTAAACTAGGTCTCAAAAAAAATAGATAAATAAATAAAAGCTCTGGTTTGTAGCATTTGCCAATTAATATGGTATAACTGCTCTTATTACGGATATTAAGATGCCACCAGTTTAATGACTAGGTATTAAATTTCTGAATATTTACCAAATTCTGTATGAGCATAATGCTACTGATTGTGAGTACCTCTTCTCTATATATTCAATTTAAAGTAAGGTCTCAGAGTCTTTTCCTTGTAGCTATTTATTATTTTAGTACCTTGCATGGAAAATCTTTTAATAATGACTTTATATGCCTTTGATATGGATTACCACTTGTAGAATCTATTGCATGCTTATACTTACTAGAATCTGTTTCTAGATTTTCTATTCTGATTTTTTCATTTATCTGTTTCTCTTGCAGTTCTAGACCATTTAAATTACTTTGGCCTTATAATCTACTGAGCTCTTTGAGGGTAATGATTATGTGTTTTTATCACTGTAACCACTGGCTCAAGAGAGATTTCTTATATATGGTAGTTTCTCAGAAAATATGTGTTCTTGTTGGTATATTTTACTTCCTGGAAAGATAAGTCCTCCAAGGAGGCCCTGATTTTCTAAGGCATGAATTAAGAGCTTACTGGATTCAGATACTTAGGAACAGTTCTCTAGAATTTTGTCTTAAAAAAAAAAATCTTTGGATACATGTATGTACTGCTGTGCAATAAGCTACTGTAAAACATGGAAGCTTGCTCTATTAATTCTCATGAGTCTATGGGTTATTTGAATGATTACTCTCTACTTGTTTGCCTGGACTCACTCATGAGGCTGCATGAAGCTGAAAGATCACTGTGGGGCTGGGCTCAACTAAGAAAGTTATGAGAATTGAACCACTCTCTGCATGTGGTTTTTTATCTTCAGTAAAGCTAGGCCAGACTATCTCACATGGTGGGAACAACATTTCAAGAGGGCAAGCCTTGATTGCAATACCTGTGATTGTTTATCAAGCCTCTGCTTGCAACATTTTTGCTGATGTCCCATTGGCCAGAAGGAGAAGGAAATGACAACCCACTCCAGTATTCTTGCCTAGAGAATCCCGTGGACAGAGGAGCCTGGTGGGCTGCTGTCCATAGGGTTGCACACAGTTGGACACGACTGAAGTGACTTAGCATGCTTGCATGCTTTAGAGAAGGAAATGGCAATCCACTCCAGTATTCTTGCCTGGAGAACCCCAGGGACAGAGGAGCCTGGTGGGCTGCCGTCTATGAGGTTACACAGAATCAGACACGATGAAAGTGACTTAGCAGCAGCAGCAGCAGCATTGGCCAGAGCAGGTCACTGGCCAAACTCAGTGTTCATGTGAGAGGAAGCTACATAAGGATGTGGGTACTGGAAGATGTAATTCATTGCTTGCTTCATCCATGGGAGCGTTAGGCTATCAATCTATGACATTTCTCCTTTTCCCATCTAGTCTGCTCATATGGTTGGCCTCCATGTACTATAAATGGAATAAGTATCTAATGAGTTGATTATAGACATTATTTTTTAGATAAATCAATACTTATTATATTCTTGACATATATTATTTTATGTACATGTGCTATTTACATACCATTTCCCAAAGGACTAGAGGATGCTTGCAATAAAAATCAGATATAATATTAAGCATTAGAAATATTAAAAATCCTTGAAAGCTAAGTTTGTGGTTTTAATTGAATATTCAATTTAACATGGAGCTTCCTTGGAATCAAGGTAAAGGTGTAGAAATACAATAGGTCAATCTTTCTTGATTACTTACTGAAAGAAAGCACAGTGTTTCTGGAGTGATCAGTTTTTTCTTATCTCTAAATACACAGAGTATCATTGAGAATGGGGTATTCCACAGAACATAACTGAGATTGAGGAAGCATTATTTTGGTAATTAAAAACAATGGACTTTTTAAAAAAGAATTTATATTGGAGTATAATTGATAACAATGTTATGTTAGTTTCAAGTGTACAGCAGAGAGATTCACCTATACAAAAAAATGTATAAAAGTTTCCAATTATAAAAAGAAGAACAAAACAAAGCAACAAAGGTCTATCATTAAAGTGAGCTTCAGTGAAGATGTTTCTGACGTGGGATTAAACTTTAGGAGGAAGGAATGTAGGTTTCTGGTATCTTTACATAGGACAAATTTAGAGCTCTGAATACTCAAAGTTATCAACGCAACCTTTGACCACGGGGACACCATCAGGGATACTTGGGCTGCATGCTTCCACTGTGGGACCCCAATCCTTCCTGTCCACTCATTCTAGAATGTTCTGCCAAAACATTTCAGTTTTCTCTTCTTCCCTCATTCAGGTCTCTACTCAAATGCCCCCTCATCAGAAGTCTTCCTTGACCACACAACTGACCACTCAATGTCTCCTCCAGCCCCCTCCCTGCAGATATCACTGGCCTTTCATTCACCCTGTTTTGTTTTTCCTCATCTTTGGTTGTTGTCAACCCTCGGCAGCCAGCCCTGCAACTGGATACCGCACTATTGCAAACACTGTGGCCCATCGACGGACAATGATTTTTCTCTGGATGGAGACTTAACAGGAGTTGTGCTGGACTCTGGTTGATGGCTTTTATGAAGACATTGGATGCAAGAAATTCAAAAGAAGAAGAAAGTGAGTCCATATCTCTTTTGCACAGAGTAGCTACTGCCTGTATTGACTGGGTCTGTCTGAGCCTAGGCTCAAGGAGTGAGGTTGGTTAAAACAGGGGCTATGTTTCCAGGATCCATGGATCTCTTCCAAACTCTGTCACACACCAACTGTGTGATTATGGATTACTTCAGCTCTATGTTTTCTCAGAGGTGAAACAGGGATGATGACCTTGCTCTTTTACAACATGGGTGTGACGATTCAGTAACGTAACTTCGAAAGTGCTTAGCACAAGGACTGGCCCACATTGTGGATTTTCTCTTTCTCGCTGCATGTAATATGAAAGAGGCTGGAGCTGACAAAGGAGAGACCTAGCTGTTTTTCTTTCTGAAGGTAATTTATTGGACTATCCCAGGGATGTTTATTTTCTTAATTAGAGGTCACAAGACTCAAGGACCACTAATGAAGGAGTTGGTGGCTGGGGAGCCAAGGGCTTTCCCCATTTCTTCCAAGTCTCTTCTTAGACTTAAAAAAAAGGTCCCCTGTAAGTTTTATGACTGCAGTGTCAAAAGTCTTCTATCCAAAATGCAGTAAATATTCTAATGAAGTCTGGAAAGAAAGCCATTTGTAATGGCTTGAGGCAGAGTATTAAGATAGCCTGTTTCTCGTTAGTCAGTCATTAGAGAGATCTAACATGCATGGGAAATGGTTTCCTGTTGTAAGTGCTTTAAAACCGAGTTTTAGGAAACCCCGTTTCCTGCCGGCTCATTTGGAGACAGCAATGTGCCAACTGGTCAGACTTTTCAGATGGCCAAATGGTTGCCTCCTCAGCTGCAATTGAGTTCAGCTGCAACAGCCTCTGAGAGTGGGCTTCTTGTCTTGGGGGTCCTAGCAAGAAGTAGGAAGGTCCACAGGGGTAAGACATCTGGATCAGGCACCACTTGGGGGATTTTGTCTCCAGTTTTAAGTACTTTAGAACTGAGTGATTCCCAGCATGAATCAAAAACAGGAGGAGAATCTTCCAGCATGGAGCCTTGGTGCATGGGTCTAGATCCGACAGACGTAGCTCACGGGAAAATGGTGGATAAACTCTCTTGTTTAGGAGGTGTAGGATGGCTGATGGAGAGGGAATTCTTTTGACTACCTGATGTGTTGTGCATTAAAATGGGATTTTCTTAAACAAGGAAGTTCCAGAGACTTCAATTAGGATGTAGATGAAAGTATTTGCTAATCAAATCCATTTGCTTCTTTTTGTGTATGAGATGAGGGTCAATACTGTAAGTGGAAGCAGGAAATGGATGGATTGAGGAAGACCACACATTTCCTCACCTCCAGGAGACACCCTCTGTAACAACTGCCCAAATCCTAAATCAGAAAGGGAAATCCTTAGCCTCTAACCATTGCTGCTTTACCCAAGAGAGGACTCCAAATATATATCTAGGCATACTCTGCCATTCTCTGAGAGGGCACAGCCAGACCTAAGCCTGATATATATACTTTCTTAACTAATTGTCAGAACAATGCAGTGAGAAAGTACTTTTACTATCCTCTAGGGGCCTGCCTGGTGGCTCAGTGTTAAAGAGTCCGCCTGCCAATGCAGCACACGTGGGTTTGATCCCTGGGTCAGGAAGATCCCCTGGAGAAGGAAATGGCAACTCACTCCAGTATTCTTGCCTGGGAAATCCCATGAACAGAGGGGCCTGGTGAGCTACCGTCTTTGGAGGTTGCAAAGAGTCAGACACAACTGAGGAATGTTCTATGATAATTTACTATGTAAATTTACTAATTTACTATGATAATTATGTACTATAATTTACAAAATTTACTATGATAAATTTTGGAGGGGGGTGGATTTTTCACTCCTTGCTTCCTCCATACTCTTGCCATAGCCTCACTTGGAGTAGAATTTATCCCTTGACTTTGGGCTTGGCCACATCCTTCTGCAGTGGTAAAGAGTCCACCTGTCAATGCAGGAGATGCAAGAGTTGAGAGTTCCATCCTTGGTTCAGAAAGATCCCCTGGAGAAGGAAATGGCAACCCACTCCAGTATTCTTGCTTGGGAAATCCTATAGACAGTGGAGCCTGGCGGGATACAGTCCATGGGGTCACAAAGATTGGGACATGACTGAGCAACTGAGAACACACACATCCTTGCTTTGGTCAAGTATAGACAAATGGAAGTATCAGCCTGAGCCTAGGTCTTTAGAGGCCACCCAGGTTTCTTCCCGCCCTCTTGCATTTCTGCCATTGCCTTTGAAAAAGTCAACTAGTCTGCTGGTCCCAGAAAGATGTCGAAAGACACATACAAAGAGCAGAGCCACCCATACTAACCCACAGACCACAGTGAGACACAGAGTCACTACAGTTGACCCTCAGACACATGAAAATAAATGACTGCTGTTTTAAGTCCTGCATTTGGGGCTGTTTGTTATGGCACAGGAGCTAACTGATACTTCTCCATTTTACAAATAAAATATGACTCAGAGATTTTAGTGGTAACTTTTCCAAGGTACAGATCTTACAGCTGGTTGAGTCAAGAATCAAACCTAGAGATAGTCAATTCTTAACCATTAGGCTAAACTTCCCAGAGACAGCCCCCACCCCCACCTATGGATGGGCTAGCAATTTCCACAAGTGTCTCATGGTTTATTTTCTTTATGACTGGAACAACTAAGGGCTAGAACTGATTTGCCAACCAGGTTCTTACAGGCAGGGAGAGGCAGAGACACATAGAAAATTCGTCTTATCCACTTCCTTGAGACCTAATGATCTGATGTTCCCCTTATCAGCCTCTTTCTCCTAGACCCTGGCTTTTTTCCACCCTTCCATGTAAGTTGATTTTCAAGTGATGAGTGCTTTCATTTTAACAAGGGAAACATGATTTTTATCTGTATTCATAATCCAAAATAACCAAATTTTAATGGTTGAATCTCAGGTTAGTTGTTTAAGCAGTTGGGATGAAAGGTTCGGTCTGCCCAGAAACATCTTACACCAAAATCTCCAAGTAGCCACTGGGAAGGCAGGCCCTTGGCAGGAAGATGACTTCAAGACAGCATCACAGACAGAGGGAGCCTTGGCCAGTGGTCAGGAGATGTTCGCTGAGGTCTGTGCTGTTCATTTACTCCATGAACTTGAAAGGCTCACTCTCTCTCTGAACTTGAACTTCCCAATAGTCAGAGGAGAGGTTGTCAGGAAGGCACAAACTTGTCAACCCCATTTAGCTTTCTCATGCTCCGATTCTCCATCACAAACCACGATGCCCCAGAGGATTCAGGCAGAGCTGTACATACAGAGCTCGAATTTCCCTGCTTTCAGAACATCAGATCTGAACCTGTTATTTTCCTGATGGGCTCTGAACGACCCAAGATTTCATGTCACTAGGTAGAACATAGATATAATTTAGAAAAGAGATTTATCGGAAGTACAATAACAGTCCCCATTATTTATTTAAAAAAATCTTATTTAAATAAAGATGGAGCATTTAAAGTTGCATTTGATTGAACAACTGTCCCGTTTTTAAAAATTTTCCCTGACAAAAGCTATGAATTATTAATTTCTGTCATTGTATTCACTGAACAAATGTAATTGCAAGTAAATGTCTGAAGTTAATGAAAAAATTAAGAAAAAAAGATTTCTTTATAAGAATTAATGAAACATTTCCACAAACCTCTTTGAAATCATGATTATAAAGCCTTGCGACATCTCCTCGGAGCTGCATATCCAGAGCAAAGGGGGTTGAGCTCCTCTTTCTTTGGCAGGAAGGATGAAAACATTTTATTAGTATTGTACTAGCTGTGGAAATTAACACACACAAGGATTCTAACCTTAACCCTCCCAAATATTTTTGCACTCATTTAAGTGGTTTTTTTTTTTTTTTTTTTTTATCCATTCTGAGTCATTGCAGGAGGTCACAACAGCTTTCCATCTGCTGTCCTGGCCAATGTCATCACAACTTGTTATATTTTTAAAAAGAAAAAAAATATATATACATATATATATATATATTTGACTGAACCAGGTCTTAGCTGCAGCATCATATGAGATCTACTTCCCTGACCAGGGATCAAACCCCGGGTCTCCTGCATTGGGAGTATGGAGTCTTAGCCACTGGACCACCAGGTAAGTCCCAGCACTTATGTTAATATGACATAATGAAAAGTTCTGCTTTAATTCCTTAAAGAGAAAAAAAAAAAGATAGACTAGGGTGAACAGGGACTGGATTTCTGAATTAAGCTGGCATTTAGCCTCAAAGCAGAGACTGAAATAATTTCACTCTCTACTCCTCAAATATCCCATAAGTAAGTCATTACCAACACTAAGATGGAACTAGAAATTGTCTCTCAGTTCCATTTAATTTCCAGCTTTCTTGAGATAAACCCCGCCTCCCATCCTCTAGTACCATTTACGTTTACATTTTCAGTACAGTAGCAACAACTGCGAATTCAACACTGGGACGCCTGGGTCCTGATTCAGAATCTGTCCTTTATTAGTTTTATGACCCGAGACACAGGCGAGTCCCTACCTCACTGAGAGCCATATCTATCTACTCATCTATCTAGGACTTCCTTGGTGGCTCAGTGGTAAAGAATTTGCCTGCCAAGGCAGGAGGTGCAGGTTCAATCACTGGGTCAGGAAGATCTTCTGGAGAAAGAAATGGCAAACCACTCCGATATTCTTGCCTGGGAAATCTCATGGACAGAGGAGTCTGGTGGGCTACAGCCCATGGGATTGCAAAATAGTTGAATCTATTTATTTATTAAAAACATTCTCTTTTTATATATTTATTTACTTTTTCTTCTGTCCCATAAGTAAGTCATTACCAACACTAAGATGGAACTAGAAATTGTCTCTCAGTTCCATTTAATTTCCAGCTTTCTTGAGATAAACCCCGCCTCCCATCCTCTAGTACCATTTACGTTTACATTTTCAGTACAGTAGCAACAACTGCGAATTCAACACTGGGACGCCTGGGTCCTGATTCAGAATCTGCCCTTTATTAGTTTTATGACCCGAGACACAGGCGAGTCCCTACCTCACTGAGAGCCATATCTATCTACTCATCTATCTAGGACTTCCTTGGTGGCTCAGTGGTAAAGAATTTGCCTGCCAAGGCAGGAGGTGCAGGTTCAATCACTGGGTCAGGAAGATCTTCTGGAGAAAGAAATGGCAAACCACTCCGATATTCTTGCCTGGGAAATCTCATGGACAGAGGAGTCTGGTGGGCTACAGCCCATGGGATTGCAAAATAGTTGAATCTATTTATTTATTAAAAACATTCTCTTTTTATATATTTATTTACTTTTTCTTCTGACCGAGCTACAAAGCATGTGGAATCTTATTTCCCCAACCAGGGATCAAACCTGCAGTGTGGAAAGGCAGAGTCTTTCTGCTGGATCACCAAAGAAGTTCATAGAGCCCCATTAAAAATTTCTTGTCCTGCCTCCCTCCCAGGACTAGTGTGAAAGCTAAGTGAAATGAAACATGTGGTCAACAGTGAAATACAAATATAAAAAAGCGACTTTTGCTTTTGTTATTTGTTTCGTCCTTTTGTCTCTGAGGAAACCCCAGCAGCCATTCACCAGTGCAGTCCTGTGACTTCTGCACCACAACAGAGACTGGAAACCAGTTGTCTGCATTTCCCAGCATCCTTTGCAGTTAAGGGAGCTGTGTGACCCAGTCTGCCCAGCGATCCATTAAACTTCCTATGTAGTTCCCCAGATTTCTCTCTCTCTCTCTGTCTTTCTTATTTCCCGGATGAAGGCAGGGTACCTAGTAGATTCCAAGTGCTTGCAGATGGCAAAGGCACACGATGGAAAGACAGACTACTTGAGTCACCATATAGAAGTCCACTCTGTAAGCACTCCACAGCCCTACAGTAGAAGCAACAAAGAAACTTTGACTGTTAAGCCACTGAGACTTGGAGCATTTTGCTGGATCAGTTAGTGTGACTTATTCTTACTCATTCACCAGGGTGAGCAGACCTGTAGGGAAGCTTGGATTAAATCTACAGACAGTACATGTCAAAACAGAAGTGAGTCATTTTTGCTGGGACTCCTTCAAAATCATTTTTTCTAGGCTAACTGACCACAAATGTATGATATGAGGAGAGGTTTATGTCTGAAAAGTTCAGTCCCTGTGGGGTAACTGCTGGAATTGTGCAGATCAAATAGGCATTGATAACGGCTTCCCTGATAGCTCAGTTGGTAAAGAATCCGCCTGCAACGCAGGAGACCCTGGTTCTATTCCTGGGTCGGGAAGATCTGCTGGAGAAGGGATAGGCTACCCACTGCAGTATCTGTGGGCTTCCCTTGTGGGTCAGTTGGTGAAGAATCCTCCTGCAATGCAGGAGACCTGGGTTTGATCCCTGGGTTGGGAAGACCCCCTGGGGAAAGAAAAGGCTACCCACTCCAGTATTCTGGTCTAGAGAATTCCATGAACTCTATAGTCCATGGGGTGCAAAGAGCTGGACACCACTGAGTGACTTTCACTTTCACTTTCAATAGGCATTGATAGGGAATCATGAGGGTGCTGAATCTTCAGTTACGCCCTGCAGCCAACACAATCAATTCTGCCACCAAACCAGGCATGGAAGAGGAGAGGGTCTGTGTGTGGTTTACGATTCTGAGATTTGCAATGCAGGATCTTTCCTTTTCTCTCTAGTATTGCCAGAGCAACATCAGTGACCAAATAGGGGCAAAGGAGAACCACATTTTGACTCTCTCTCTCCCCTCCCCCTCTCTCCTCTCACGCACTCATCTCCCAGATCTGAAGACTTTTTAAGCATAAAAAAGAGATGAACTGAAAAGGCATATTCCTATAATTTGCCCAAATGTGCACATTTCAATCTCTGGATAACAGAGGCTGCAAATTGCCCCCAGACTAACACACTATCCTTATTTAAGAAATCCTCTTACCTCTTTACCCTGAAGTCTCCATAAATCTGCCTGATATATAGATGTCAGGCATTTTCTGGCTGTTGAAACATGAAACATGACATCAGCCAGGGATTAAGTTACAACTCATAAAGACCATGTTTATTTGCTGGTTCTGTTTAAAAATTTTCTTCCAACTATCATTTTACTCAAATGGCCTCCTATTTTATGGGAAATAAAGTTAGAACTAATGAAGGAAACCCTTTCTGAGCTCAAAGAGATGTGCAGGCTGTGGCCATCTTCATTGTAACCAAATATTTAAATTATTTAGAGCTCATTGTAAGCTATTATTGTTCATTTTTTGGACAAAATGGCACCATGAGTTGATGCAGACATGGGAGGAGAAATCTAAGAATCAAGGAGAGAGAGATGTTAAGAATTAGAGGAAGAAGGCAAAATGCAGGGAAGGAGCCCAGGGCGACAGCTTCCAGTGCGTCTCCCCTGAGCATCATTCACCTTTCATTGTGCTCTGAGCCATTGGAGGGCAAGTCATGGGCGTGTACACAGAGAAGGTTGCCTGTACACATCTGTCCATTGCCCAGCAACTGGCCAGAGACCCCATTTCCAAACAACTATAGCTGGTATGAGGGCTTATCAGGTGACACAGTGGTAAACAATTCACCTACCAATGAAGGAGATGCAAGAGATGCAGGTTTGATCCCTGGATGGAGAAGAGCCCCTAAGAAGGAAATGGCAACCCACTCCAGCATTCTTGCCTAGGAAATCCCATGGATAGATGAGACTGGCGGCCTACAGTCCATGGGGTTGCAAAGAGTCAGACATGACTGAAATGACTTAGCATGCATATATACACATATATAGGCTTTCCAAGTGGTGCTAGTGGTAAAGAACTCACCTGCCAATGCAGGAGACATAAGAGACCAGGGTTTGATCCCTGGGTCAGGAAGATCCCCTGGTGGAGGGCATAGCAACCCACTCCAGTATTCTTGCCTAGAGAAACCTGTGGACAGAGGAGCCTGGCAGGCTGCAGTCCATTAGGTCTTCAAAGGTTGAGTATGACTGAAGCGACTTAGCATGCAAGAACACACATGCATAAATGTATGTATATCATTTTAGATTAGCAGTGCTGCAAAGCCTTCTTGTCCTCTCCCGTTATAAAAAAGCTTTTATAAATTCTATAACTACTGGAGGAGGGGTAGTTTATGCTTACCAATTTGCTTGACTCTCTAGTATTTCAGTGGAAATAATTCTGCAGGAGCTGTTAAAAGGCATTATTTATATCCTGTAGTGAATCAAATGGATTTTCTCATTGCCTGGATGAACAGGGCACTGGACTAGCCTTTGAGACCTGACTGAGTAATGGGACAAAATTTCAGGAAGTAGAAATCAGGGCCAACTCTAGGTTTAACTCATTCATGGAATACCTCATTCTGGCTGAGCCATACACTAACACATTTTCCAAGGCTGGCATTTCCTACCCACCATGGAATACCTTCCCTAATGTTTGGAGAGATTGCACATACTATGTCAGTATGGGGTTTACTCATTATTGATCGGAGGTTCTAGCTCAGGGGTCAGCAAACTTCCAGCTTCGGGGCCAAGTCTGGCCCTCTGTCTAGTAAGACCGAAAACCTAAGAATGGTTTTTACATTTTTCAGTGGTTGGATAAAAGGTCAAAAGAAGAACACTATTTTATGCTATGTGAGAATCATATGACATTTAAAATCAGTCCCATCAATAAGGGTTTGCTGGAAATCAGTCAGGCTCATCTGATTACATATTGTTTGTAGCTACTTTCACAATTCAAGGGCGGAGCTGAATAGTTGCAACAGAGATTGTTAGATCTGTAAAGACTAAAGTATTTACTATTTGGCTCTTTACAGAGAAAGTTTGCCAACCCCTGTTCTGACTGGGTACTTCATGCCTCAAGAGACAAGGTGTCTATGGGGCCTTTGCACTTCTCATCTTTATTTATTAGTGTCATCTTTTAAAGCAAACCACATGCATTTTCCAAGCTGGATATTTGTGAGTGTGTGTGTGTGTGCACGCGCGTGTGTGTGTGAAAATAGGCTTAACAAAAAATTTATAATTTTAACCATTTTTTAAATGTACAATTCAGTGGCAATAAGCATATTTACAAAGTTGCATAACCATCACCATTATCCACTTCCAGAACATTTTTATCATCCCAAACAGAAACTCGGTACTCATTAAACAATAACTCTCCATTCCCCCTTCCTATCAGCTCCTGGTAACCACGATTCTACTTTTAATCTCTATGAATTTGCTTGTTCTAGATCCTTCACATAAATGGAATCATACCATGCGTGACCTTTTGTGCCTGGCCTCTTCCCCTTAGCATAATAGTCTCAGGGTTCATTTGTGTTGATTCAGAGCTGCTTTCCTTTTAGAAGACCCAATGGTGCTCCATTGTGTGGATATGCCACTGGGCATTGATGTTCAGCCAATGCTACATTGTGTGGGATGTGGTTCTCCAGATTCTTAGATGTATGGCATCAGTGGGACTCACAGGCCATCATGCTCAGGTTGAGGTTAAGGGCCGGGAAAGTGAAAGTGTTTGTCACTCAGTTGTGTCCGACTCTTTGCGATCCCATGCACTGTAGCCCACCAGTCTCTGCTGTCCATGGGATTCTCCAGGCAAGAATACTAGAGTTGGTAGTCATTCTCTTCTCCAGGGGATCTTCCCAACCCAGGGATCGAACCCCAGTCTCCCATATTGCAAACAGACTTTTTACCATCTGAACCACTAGGGAAGCCCCCAACATTTCTCAGACACCTTGCAAACTGTTAATACTTAGCTTGAGGTCATTGACAGTTTTCACATGAGATCATGCTGTATTTCTTTCAATAACATATTATCTCTTGGAAGCTGGATTTTCCATGGTTGCTGTGATGAAAAGCAAGACCCGAAGAAACCTCAGTGTGGAACAGGAAATGATGGTGGCAGGGGCCAATCAGATTCCAAGACCTTAGAATGTGCAGAGCCTAACAGGCACAGCCATCCCATTAGAAGTAATTGTGGGTGTTAGAAAATAAACATAATATGTTTTTCTTTCAATTTCTGTTTTTTTAATATGCCTACTAAGTTGTTAGGATGTAAATGCTTATTAAGTTGTTTGGACCTGACTAATACATGGAGCTGTTAGGTATTTCTTTTGAACTAGGAGCACCCTGAAAAAATTACTGAGATGTGAAGAGCATATAAATTACGAAAGTGGATGAACTCCTGATCTTGTGAGTTATGTATGTTACTCGTTATGAATATGAACACTTTTTAAATTACACAAAGTCTCTGCAGCATATAAACAATTTCAGCAACAAGCAACGTCACTGCTGTTATAATTCAAGGATAATCAATGTGGCATCACTGGCATCCATAACACAGCATTGATGTGCACAAACTTCTAATATAGGCCTAATTATGAGTGTCCTTTTGCATGGAACTAAAAATATTGAAAACACTGACATTGGGGAGGTGCCCTTGGATCAAAACTCCTGAAGCAGTCAATAATCTATTATGATTTTCATTTTGCAGAAGTAGTGCTATTATTTCAAAAGGTCTCAGAAATCAATTTGGCCTTCAGTATATCTGTGTAATAATGACATCCTAATTAAAAATCCCAATCTGAGTAGTACAAAGGATGATGTTTAATCTCTAATCAATGAGCACCAAGTCGAGAAGTTATAGATGCAATAACCCTTTCTTTTTTTTAGTGAACTTTACTACTTTTCTCACACTTGGTTTGCTTTTCTCCCTGCAGTTTTGGGAGCCTTTTCTGTCTGGAAAGATAGCTGAGGAAGCTGAAACAATTTGGTACACCAAGCACATAAATTAAAGAAAGAAACATCAAAGAAACATATCGTCAGGATGGTGTGGGTTTCTTTTTAATTGGAATTTATAATTGCTCCTAATTGTAGGACATGCTGTAAATGTTACTTGGAGAGACTGAAGGAGGAGGTGGAGCCCTGTCCACTCCAGCCACATGAGCTATAACCTTGACATTTTAATTAGATATTATTTTGAAATATGTAAAAGGCATTTACATACTCAGCACAACATATCCTAGATTGTATAATTTGCCCAAGAAGACAAGATGATACACAATTTAAAAAATAATCAAGTTCTCGAAGGAACTGCAGAAATTCTTAAGAGGGGTGGAAAAAACAACAACATGTCACTGTTGTGAACACATTAAGGTTTTCTAATGTTTTCTCTAGGCAGAGTCTAGCCATTCAGTGTGAGTTGGCAGCATCAGACTACACAGAAAGAGGTGGGTTCTGTTGATTTATTGGCCCCACACACCCATCCTGCAGATAAAAAGAGAGGTCAGAGGAAGGTCAAGAATCTTCGCCTTGGAAGGAATTTCTGGTGCCATATTACCTGGCTGCAGGATGATGATTAAAACGACCCCTTAAATTGTCTTCTCATGAGATGCCTTGCGCTTTGATGCTTCAATAAATTAACAATTTAGGACAGAAATTATAGGACACCTGGGAAAACCCGCCTTCTAAGCTTTGCCATCATAGATTAGCTGTGGGTCTGGATGCGATGGAATTTACTGCTGATATCCAGGAATTGGGGAAATGTACTTATGGAACTCTTCTGGGAGGGAAGGGATGGGATGGAGTGCCCTATCGTTCTCCCCAGATTTAAACATTGCTGTAATCTTGCCGAATCCTAGGTCCTAGTTGAGACTGATAATTGAGAGGAGCAATGAGCTCTGTAAAATAAAATCTCCATGAGATTCGAAAAAGAAGACAGGGTGGTGAGAGGGGAACTTTGCCATTTGTGAGGCCCTGGACTCCAGACTCTGTCTCAGCTGTCGTGAACATCATGCCCTGGAGACCCTGTGAAAGAGGATGTCTATTCGGAGTGTGGATGCTCCAGCCAGATTTGGAGGCAATCCCCTGATTGTCTTGCTCCATGGCCCACTGAAGGACTTACTGCCAAAATGTGGATCTGAACTAGAGGATGTGGTCACCACTGAAGTAAGAGACTGGCTTGGCCCCTTACTGAATCTTACAGGCACCATATGCTCATGACTGCACTGGTGGAAGGAAGATTTCTTCCTGCCATTTTAGGTCCAGGGCCCCAGCTTGGCCCTGGAAGGTTGGTTGTCTGCTAGGCAATCCACCTCCAGGGGCACTTGTGTCAGTGGCTTCCTCCAGCCCCAAGGGGGTGCCCTGAACTATGTTACTGCACAGTGGCCAGGGCAGGGAATCCTTGGTGTGTTCATGGGCGGGGTGATGGCAAGGAAGAGAAGAATAAGAGAGAAATGCATTACAGATGTTTCAGTGGACTCTTAAGGAGATGTGACCACATTCTCACAGCTCCACATCAGTAAAGCAGGTAAATCACATTGGTCTAAAATCCCAGACCTGAAACTGTGACTAGCTGGGGCACTGGTTGAGTGGAGAAAGGATGAAGACTCCCTTTTACATGCCATCTTATTGTCTACACTTGGCTCGCCACTCACAAACCTTGGAGAGGCAGGAGTTCCCTGGGTTAAAGAAGAGGGTGGGTCCCTACTCTCTAAGACTGTTGAAGGCTGACCCTTGTGATGACAACAACCAGAACTCTGTTCCCCAGTTCTGGCTTTTAACTGTTCATCACATGTAAACCCAGATATTCACTAATAACCACCGTGAGCCAGCTGCCTCTATAGGATGATGCCATGCCCTCCAACACTGGGTTCCAGATCTTCAGCTCACACTACATCCTGAGCTTGCTCTAAAAAGCATGGTAATGTTCCCTGTGGAGGCGAGAGAGCATGAAGTGACTTCTGTCTGGTCCCCTCCCTGTCTCAAACATGAGGCGTTCTCTCCATTGAGGACAGACAGATTGGACAAACAGTCCCTGTGATACTTCAAGGAGGAGGCACATCCTTCTTATGGACAGCTTATAAAAGCCCCCCTTGTGTCTAGGACATGACTGTGCTCCTCTGCGCACCTCAACCTAATTTCCTGTGGATTTCAGATCATCTTTTATTTCCAATTATGCTGCTGTTCACATTATCGATTTGGAGGATACAAATGTTGAATGACGAGAGAGAGAGAGGAAGAGGGGGAGTGGGTGGAGGGAGAAGAATTCCATTTTGCCTGAAGGATAAGATACTCGAAATGCCACCCCGCACAGCATCTCTGAAACGTTCATCAACGTGGCAGAGGCTGGCTCAATTATCTCTGTGTCAGATGATTATCTGAGAGCTTAATTTAATCTCCATTATCCTCCCCCGTCATATTTCAATTAAATCTGCTATCAGAGTGTTAACACATCTTTGAACCTGCTATTTCTTCAGTTAATTTTCCACTAAGAGGTGCTGGAGAGTAACAGATGTCATAATTATGCAATTATTAAGTGTATTTGACACTCGTTCTCTCAGGATTCTGCGGTTGGGGTAGGAGCGTTGGAAAATTAATCTGATGACAATATGCTTCCGTTGTGATCCGTAACACCACTGCAGGCTGGGGCACTATCCTCCGGCTGTTTCAGACGCTGCCGCCAAGAAAGATGCAGGATTAACTGATTGTGCATCAGATTTGTTTCACTTTTGTACATATGGTAAATTGGATGAGTTCATTAGGCAAGCAGAAGTTCAGAAACAAGTTTTTTTTTTTTTTTCCCCCTATCTTCAAGACCTCAGAAAGCACAGCAAGTACATGGTAGGGTATAGTGCAAAGTTAACAACTACAGTGTGAAAAGCGGTTAAGTGTGGCTTTAAAATCTTGAGATTTAGCTGGGGGTTGGATGTCAACTAACTGTATGACTTTGGCTACTATGTATCTTCTGTCTGAGTGTCAGTTTCATGAGGAATGAACAGACTTGACTCTATGGTTTACTATCACTTCCAGTCCTACGATCCAATGAAAATGGATGAAAACTGTCTATCCTCCTGATAGATAGATAGATAGATAGATAGTAAATATGGATATAGATAGACACATAGATATAGGTAGATAATCTCTCAGTTCAGTCAGCTGAGTCACTCAGTCATGTCTGACTCTTTGCGATCCCATGGACTGTGGCATGCCAGCCTTCCCTGTCCTTCACCAACTCCCGGAGCTTGCTCAAACTCAAGTATATCAAGTCAGTNAAGCAGGGTGACAATATACAGCCTTGACGTACCTCTTTCTCGATTTGGAACCAGTCTGTTGTTCCATGTCCAGTTCTAACTGTTGCTTCTTGACCTGCATACAGATTCCTCAGGAGGCAGGTCAGGTGGCCTGGTATTCCCATCTCTTGAAGAATTTTCCACAGTTTGCTGTGATCTACACAGTTAAAGACTTTGGTGGCATAGTCAGTGAAGTAGAAGTAGATGTTTTTCTGGAACTATCTCACTTTTTCAACAATCCAATGGATGTTGGCAATTTGATCTCTGGTTCCTCTGCCTTTTCTAAATCCAGCTTGAACAATAATCTCTCAAAATCTTTATATATAGATGACATGGAGATAGATACAGATGTATAGAGATTCAAATATATATGGAGATTAAACACAATGTTGTATCTGTCAGAAACTATTTCTATCCACATATCTGGTTCATGTGTAGGAAAAGAGCTGAAAATACATGAGGAAAGTTGAAGTTAGGAATGAATATG